CCACACAGCACACGCCACCTCACAGGGCCCCATGGAGACTGAACTCTCTTTTCCTGTTCCTAGCCCGCCCCCCCATCTACACACAACTTTGGATATCTACCTGGCTGGAGAGGGATGTTGAGGTTTCTATTAATAGAAGACCAGTTAAAGCACAGAATGGGACCCTCTATTCGAGACAGTCTAGACAGGCAAGTGTAGTAAGCAGAGACCCAGATGATGTTCCGCTTCCATTTGAAAAGTTTTAATTATACCCACCCAAAGGAAGAAGGAACAAAATGGCCATGATAATAAAAGAACTCAGCGTTTGGGATTTCCCTGGTTGTCTAATGAGTAAGACTCCGAGCTCCCAACACAGGGGCATGGTTCGACCCTTGGTCGGGGAACTGGAGCTAACACACAGCAGCTGAAGATCCTGCAGGCCACAACTGAGATGCCACACGCCACAACAAAGCTGGAAGACCCTGTGTGCCACATCGAAGACCCAGCGCAGCCAAATAAACAGACACGTACAAATCGATGTTTTAAAAAGAAAAAGAATCAGGGTGTCAATCCAAGCTCTGCCATTTGCTTGCTGTGTGACCCTGGACAAGTTACTTAACCTCTCTGAGTCTTGGTTTCCTTTTTCGCAAGTCTGTTGTGAAGGTTTAAGGATTCATTCTATGTGAGGTACTCAGCACAGGGTCATAGAAGTGTCTCATAAGGATGGTGGTAATGATGTATTTCCTGGGGACACACACATGTTCATCATTCACTCAGCACGGTTCCTCTGGGCGTGCTCCTCCCGCAAGAGAGACATAGGCACCAGGAGACTGGACAGTGAACAAAGCAGACACCGTTTCCACTTGCACGGAGCTGATATTCTGGTGGGGAAGACAGTCAAAGGAGAAACTGTGACTAGTGAAATGTATGGATTGTCGGATGGCGACAAGTGCTATGGAGAAAAATAGGAACACAGGTGGGGGTGGGGCTGGTCCCCTTGTGGGCCAAGGTCAGCTATGTGGCTTTTCTGGGGGCTGAGTCCTCCTGGCAGAGGAACAGCAAGTGCAAAGGCCCTGGGGTGGCAGAAGGTCCCTCATGGCTAGAAGGAGGGGGAGGGGGGAGGGGAGGGGTCTAGATGGTGCAGTCCCCCCTTGTGGGCCAAGGTGAGGGCTTTGGCTTTTCCTGGGAGTGAGATTGGAGCCATATGTGCATGTGAATATATGTGTTTATTTGTTTAACCTAGAAAGATGTCACCTAGGCACTTCACAGAGCCACGATGGAGACAGTAAGGGCATCAGGGTAGGGTGTGTGGATCACACATCCCTTGAGCCTCATATCTACTCTTTTCACTTTTTTTTAATGAAAGAATAAGTCCCCATAATATTTGTGCAATTGACCATTTGAGCAAAACAGAGCAAGGACCCAGATCTCTGTTCGCCAGAACACGGCCCCATCCCAGCTCAAGGGACATCCATGAGTAAGCCACTGGACCACTAATGGGGCCCAGATGTGCCCAGAGGTGGCCCCAGACCTGCCTGCCTGGATACTCACACAGAGTTCAGCTTTACAGCCAGTTTATTTCCTGGACTCGTTTTAAAGAAAAACCCAGGGGAGGATCTCGGGGCCTGGCCAGCCCCTGCTGTTCCCCACCCAAGCTCTCCCAACCCACAGCTCTGAGCTCCTGCCCAGAGGAGGGCAGTTCTTCCCTGCAGTAGAAAGCCAACCAGTAAAAATAGAAGGAATGATGGAACTAGAAAAGTCACCATTTGGCAACCACCATAGTAATAATTGATTTAGGCAGAAATCACCAGTGAGGGCTAAACCTCGTGGGAGGAAGCTTGAGGAGTAACAGGATATTCACATGGTCCTGGAATGTCTCCCCGCAAGATACAGATTAAATACAAAAAGGGAGAAAGAGGAACTTTATCCACCTTAACCCAGCGGTCAAAGGGGACATCACCAGGAATGGGACAGGCTGACGTCATGTGCTGCGAGATAACTCGCTCTGGGAAGGGCACAGCCCGACCGCTGTGGTTCTGCCTACAGCACACAGCCAATTTTAACCCCAGGGAAGCATCAGGAAAGTCCAAACTGGGGGACATTCCATGAAAGACCTGACCCAAACTCCTCAAAAATGTCAGTCACAAAAGACCAAGGAAGGAGTTGTTCCAGAATAAAAGAGACCAAAGAGACGGGACAAGGAAACTTAACGCGTGATCTGGATCACTCCCTACCCCCACCCACTAAAGTGCTATGGAGAACATCACTGGGACTTGGGGAAGCTTGATTGTGACTGTGGATTGAATAATAGCGTTGCACCAATGCTAAGTTGCCCAATTTTGATCATTAAACTGTGGTCATAGGAAAGAATGTTCCTGTCCTTAAGAAATATCCACTTAAATAGTTAGTGGTAAAAGGGCATTATATCTACGGCTTCCTTTCAAATGGTTAAAAAAAAGAAGTGGGAATATGTTTGTGTGTACACAGAGAGAGAAAAGGCAAACTTGATGTTATTTTGAAGAATCTGATGGAAAGATTTCAGTTCATTGTACTTTCCTTGCAACTTTTCTGTCAGGTTGAAATTATTTGAAAATAAAAAGTTCTAAAGAAATGTAAAGCACCTGTCTCCCTTCTCTCTCCTAATAGTCTCTATCCGCCCCATATCACCCCTGCACCTAGAGACCTAGGCTTCGATGGGTTTATTGTAAATCCTCCCAGAGTTTCTGTAGGCAAATACAAACAAGAATGAAGACCATGCTCAATTCCACCCTTCTTCCCACAAAAAGGAGCATGGTCTGCATGTAATTTTTTCCCCTTAGCTAAATGTGGTTGAGTGGGGGCGGGTCCACATCAGGACAGAAGAACCGTCACCCGTTTGATCCCCAGTCCCGCCACCCGGTCCAACATCTCCTTTAAAAAGCCCCCAGGAACTTGCTCCCACCAGCGCTCAGGTGTGCCTGGCACAGGCCTAGAAGCCCAGCCGTCACACATTCTTCAACCCAACCTTGCCGAGGCCTCCACCCCTCTGGGCCGGCTCAGCATCATCCCTCTTGCCTTGGGCCTTTCCCTGGCTCCCAGCTCTTGTTTCTTTCCTCTTCTGACTTGGCTAACCCCATTCTCCACCAGGATGGGGGGAATCAGTGTCAAATAAAAGCAGGCCTCAAGGCTCCTCCACTTAAAATGCCTCCATGCCTGCCCTTCGGCTCAACCAGGGTCTGATTCCTCCTCGCTACTGACACGAGCACTGCAGGACATGGACCCTCATCAACCCTCTCGGCAGGGGGCCAAGCTCACTCCAGCCTCGGAGCCTCTGCACTTGTGGCTGGCTCCCGAGGCTGGAGGTCTCGCTTCCTCCAGGCCTCCCCTGGAACCGGCTCTGGGCTCCGGCTCTCCCGGCCTTATCAGAGGGCGCCCCACCCCATGCGCTCTGGAGCACATGCTCTCTTTAATTCCATCTTGGCACGTCGCTGTAGGAAAGCAGCTTGTTTATTTAGTCACTTGTTTGTTTTCTGTCTCCCCTACTAAAACATGAGTTCCCTGAGCCCAAGGACTGTCTATCATCTGTTCAGGGCTGCAACCCTGGGGCCTCGAACATGCGGGCCTCACTCAAACCAACTGAATGGACATCCCTTTTCTGCCTCGGGGGAGCAAGGCCCTATCATCACCCTATTTCAGAGGCAGAAACTAGAATGTCCATGGGTCCGAGAGGGCTAGAGCTTTGCTCCAGGGCCTATGAGCCAAGGGGGCGTGAGCCTGGCTCTTGACTCCCGGGATAAGGGGAGTCTGGTGCACCCCCGTTGAATGCCGGCTGGGGGTTGCCATGAGGCCCACCCCTCGGGGAGTGTGTGAGAACGGTTCTTCATCCCCCACGTGTCGGCACCTACTGTGGGTAGCTGGACGCCCCCCAGAGACCTGGGACACAGTAGGCCCTCAGCACATTGATGCCCACCCCTCACCCGCCCCCAACTCCCTGACTTCCCTTCAGGGAGGCCGGCTACAATTTGGCGATTGTTAGAGAACTTTTTTTTTTTCTCTTTTGGGAGGAAAGCTGCAAGTCATTAAGGGCTGCTCCCGGCCTGCGGGTCACCATTTCCTGTTTAGAAGAAAGAATCATCTCTCCTTTGGAACATGAAGCTCCCCCACCCCCGGCCTGGCTCTGGGGCTCCGGGGCGCCTGCGAAGCCTGCCCCACTCAGCTCCCCGCAGGAAACTGGCACCTTCAGCACCTTTTGTGCTCGAAAAGGACACTCATTTTCTCCTGGCCCCAGGAGGGCCCCAGAGGTGAGGTCACCGCGAGCCAGCGGGGAGTGAATTATCTCAGTCCCGGGACGCAGCGCTGACTGCCTTCCCGTCCTGTCCTCGAGCAGGAAGTAGAATGACCCCTACCCTTTGGCCTGGCTTCTCACCCTCCCGGCTCCAGCCAGCCAATTTCCTCGCATCAAAGGCCATTTGGTACCCAGCAGCCAGACAGACGTGTGGGCCTGCCAGGGAGGCCGGAGCGGGACCCGGAGCCCTTGGAAACAGGAAGGACATCCTCTGTCCCTCCTCGCTCACCGCATTCCACTCTCATCTGGAGCAGCCGCCGCGCCCTCTCCAGAAGACCTGCCGGGCTGGGGAAGGCCCCACAGCAGGCCTGCTTGATAAGACCTGGGAGCCAGCTTCCTTCCCCGGGAGCCTGGTCGGCTGGAGGACAGAACGGGGCCACAGAGGATAAGAAACCTGCACGCACAGCCTTACCGCCCACCGGCCCGCAGGTGTTTCCCGACCTCCGAATCGGACAGGACGTCCACGCTCCGAGGAAAACCCACCTGCACAAACAAGGTCCCCCGGCAAACCCAGAGGGCCGAAGCCAGGACCGCGGGCCGTCGGGAGCCCGCGAGCGCCCTGCATCCCTGCCCCGTCCTTCCTCCCTGGAGGCCCTTGAAAATACCCCCGCGGCAGTAAAACCAGGTAGAATTTTTATATATAAATTACATATAATTTATAAAACCAGATAGCTAAAGCCAGGTAGACTTTTTATATATAAATTAACCACTTTATTGAATATCAATAAACCGTACATATAACTATACAAAACGTTTCCTTAGTACAAAATGTCGCTTGCGATATAAATACCAGTGTACCTTTAAAAAATTGTAAACATCTTCCTCCCAGGCCCACCTGTCAGGCCCCGAAAATAGTTCTGGGAGACACAGTGGTGGGGCCAGAGCGCCCCACTCGGGCCCCCAACAAGGGAAGGCAATTATTCACAGTCCCTTTGGACACGTCGTTAAATTGCCCGTGAAACAGGTGCCACCATGACACACAGGAGGCTGAAATAGCTGCCCGGGTCTGCGGGCATCCTGGGGTCCAGAGGCGCTCCTGGCGTCAGGGGGCACCCCCGCCGGGCACCTGGGGGTGGCCACTTGCATAGTGAGGCGCACCTCCTGGAGGGGCGGCCTGGGGGTCCCTGGAGGGTAGGCCAGGGTCCCCTGAGTGGGGCGAGTTCCGAGCAGCTGCGCAGAAAAGCCAGCTCCATGGACACTGGGAGCAGCGGCTGCCAGGAGGGGTCCCTGCGGCAAGCCACCCCCCGACAGGAAGCGCTCCCGCCCCGCTGAGCCCGGCAGGGCATCCAGAGGACCGGGAAATGGTCCCCAGGGTCCAGCCGGACGGCGGAGCTCAGGAGCGGATTCTGTGGCAGTGACGAGGAGGCAGGGTCCTCCCTTCTGGAGCGGGGGGAGGCCGCTCCAGGCTGCAGGGAGGGCCCGGAGAGGTGGAAGGAGCCTGAGAGTCAGCGCGGCCCCCCTGAGCAGCCCGACTCTTGGTGCTTGTGGAGCAGGGACATTCGGGAGAAGGTTCTGGAACATGTCTTGCACTGGTACTTCTTGACATCCGAGTGGGTCTGGAGGTGGGCCCGGAGGTTGGAGCGGTCGGCGAAGGCGCGGCTGCAGTGGGGGCAGGAGAAGGGCTTCTCGCCTGGGGAGAGACGACAGAAGGGGTTGGTGGAGGCGCAGTCACTCGGGAGGACAGCTGACGTCTGCTGACGTCCCCAGCCACCCCCAGCCTCTGCCACCCGGCTCACCCCAACCTTGAAGGGCTCCCATGACCCAGAGAAGCCAGAGGCCTATATTCGGCAGGGAGCGCTGCCGCTTCCCACTGTGTGGCCCTGAGCAAGTCAGCAGGCTTCTCTGAGCCTCCATTTGCTCATCTGTAAAATGGAGCCGTTCAGCCCCCACGCACAGGGGTTGGTAATTGAGAGAAGGCGAATCAAATACTTTTCCTGCCCTGCCGGCAGGAGGAAGTGCTCAACAATGCGGCAGCGACAGCAGCGTGTTTGCCGAACGCTTTGTGCCAGGGAAGGTGGAAGCACTTCCCGCTATCTCATTGAACCCCACCTTCATCCTGAGTTGAGGGATGGAGAAACTGAGGCACAGGGAATATGCAGGGTCTCAGAAAGAACCAAGCAGCCCGACTCCAGCGCCCTTGGTTTTAACCACTACAGAGACTGCCTCTTAGTTAAGGAGGCTGAAATGGGTGTTTCTTATTATCACCCTTGTATTGCCTTCCTGCGGGGACAAAGCTTAGCTTAAGTGTCAGCCTAAAAACCTCCCTCTCCCCTCCCCAGGTCACTCCTCTTCACTGCTTCCCCATCACTGGGATCACACTCAAGAAAGTGTCAAGTCTGTCTGTCTCCCCATCAGAGAGAGCCCCACGAAGGCAGGAACCTCCCCACCCCGAATCCATTCCAAGCTTCCAACCCAATGCCTAGAACCCCCAAGGGGCTACAGAAATCTTTTAACCTTATGACTTCTTAAAAAAGAATCCCACCTGAGGCCCTCACGCCACCTGCCCGGCCAGGCTGTATTGGGAAGAGCCTTGCACTCAGGGCTGGGTACACGCAGGAGCGCAATAAGTGCTTGAACAACACTGTCTTTTTTTTAATTATAATTTAAAAAAAAAGGTCTCAGGAGAGCCTGACTCCTCAATCACCACCAGACAACACCATTCAGCTTTTCATAATTCCTGTCCCAATCAAGAGACTATAACTCACATTCCAGAAACCTTACAGCAAATGCTGTTTCACTTTTCCTTGGGGCTGCATTTCCCAAATAAAGCCAGAAGAGTAACTCATTAAATAAATACTAATCAAGCCTCTAACTCCACGCCAGGCACTGTTCTATAATACTGAATACTCTTTTCCCAGAAAAGACATTCTCCTCCCCTCCCATTCCCCAGTGTCCCGAGGCCAAGGCCCCCTAGTTAAGCCCCGGTGCTGGAAGTAAGAGCTGGGAATAAATGAATGCCGGCAGTCCTCCTGGATGCCTGGGGGCACTGCGCAGTGCTGGGTGGGTGCCCACAGCCCACGGGGGAGCCGCGTTCACGGGCTCAGTCTCCTGGGGCAGGGACACCAGGAACCGGGCCACCGGCGGAGCGGGGCCAGGGCCAGAGGACTGGGGAAGGGACGCCTGTGTAACCTGCCCTGCCGTGACCAGAGCGCCTCTGCATACCAGACCCGAAGGGTCTGATGACTGCGTTCTACAAGTTCTTCCTCATTCACACCCTGCTCTGAGAACTCAGGGCCTGGGCTCTGCAGACCTGTAAAAGCGGATGCAGTGCCTGGGTTCCCTTCCCCTCGCCCCCGCCTCAGGCAAGGCGCAGGAGCCCTGACTGCGGCCTATAAAGCTGGGACTTGGGCAAGTGGCGGCCTTCTCTGCGCCTCCGTTTGCTCTCCGCTGAGATGGGGTCAGGACGGCCCAGCTCTCAGGGCGGCTGCTGGACTGACTACCACGACACAGGTGACGAGAAGGGCCCGGAGCGCGTGCCTCCCCGCCTCCGGCGCTCGGTGAACGTTATCTTTATGTTACGTGTGATTAGACACAAACCTGGACAAAGGGGCTGGCTGGATGGGATGGGATGGGATGGGATGGGTGGGTAGAGGTCTGTGTGCAGAAGCGGAGGCCCCGCAGGCCTCCACCCCGCCACCCCGGCCCAGCCACGTCTTTCTGGTGCTCCTGGCGTGTGAAATCGGCACCAGGCCGGCGGGGACAAAGGCCGCCGAGGGGGGCAGTGTACATGCGATACTCCCTGGATTAAAGGGGTCTGACACGCTGCGGGCCGGCAGCTGCGGCCCGGAACAGGTGCTGGGCACCGCTGCCCCGGGCACCTGCTCCAGCCCCCAGCCCCCGCCCCCCAGGCGCACCATTAAGGCGCACAATGGGAGGCGAGGAGGATGGTGCTGGTGCATTTCAACAGGCTTTGTGTGTCTGGGCCGTGCCTTTACATGAAAATAATGTCCGAAAGGGAGGGGAGAGAAGCTGGGAGGCTGAGGGAGCATCGGAGGGCTTCCGCTGCCCCCAAATAGGCTGCCCCCAAATAGAGACCCCGTCGCTGGGCAGCCACTGAGGACACAGGCCAGGCAGTTGGGCCTTTACATGTTAAAATCAGGGCTTTTGTGCACCAAAGAAGACACTGCAGCCACGGGCTACAAGCTCTGGAGGTTGCCTGCCTCCGCCCCCACCCCCCAGGAGGAATGACATCAATACTGCCTGCAAAATGCCAGGCTTCGCACACCACCTCGCTGACCCTCACGGCTCAGAGGTCAACCCCTGGGCCAGGAAATGCCAGAACTGAGTCTCCAACCTGGCCAGGCTGACCCCCAAAACCAACAGTCATGACCCTTGAACCCTGTCTCTGAAGAGCAGCAGCCCCAAGCAGAGAGGCCTCCTCCATTCACACGCTGAAAAGGTGGAATGGTTACTTTTCTGCACTTCCAGAAAGCTAAAGGCTAGGATGGGTTCCATCTCACAAGTTTCTACACATTTAGCATTAGTTTTTGAAATGCCAAGACATAATTGTATTTTCTGCCAGCAAAGGAGTTCCTGGGTCTGCATGATGGGATTAAGTTTATCTGTTCAGCGGTGAGTGGGGGTGGGGAGAGCAGGTCTGAGAATCATCATGATCCTATAACAAGTTATTATCAAGTGAAGAAGCAGCTACTGAATCCAGACTGCCCCCTCTACAATACTGCCGTAACCCACTCTGTATGATTAAGTTAGAATCAGAGAGGCTCAGAGTTAAATCCCATACTCAGAGACACACACCACGTACCAACCGCCATCGTTGTGCCTGCTGGTCATGTCCCAAGCATTTTCCAGGTGCTTTCTGTCCCAGGTGTCTCATTTAACCGGCACAAAAACCTCACAAAGTGTTTTTATACTCATTTCACAGATGAGGATACAGAGGCTAAGGGAGGTGAAACACCAGCCCAAAGTCTGGGGAGGATCCCAAGGCAGGATTCAGAGCGGAGGCAGGTGGGCAGGCTGACAACATCCTGTCTGGCTGGGGTGGGGGTGGGCTAGGGGAGGGTGGAGCAGGGTGGGCCCCTTCACACCTGGCCCCAACAGCAAGGTGTTACTTAGACCTTTCCCATATCCAGCTCCAACCCATTTGGCTGAGAGGAACTGAGCCTGCTGAGGGACATGTAAAAGTTATCTACTCAGCCCAAGTGCTTAGCTGGTGAATGATGGCATGTTTCTGCCAAACTTCAGAGTCAGGCCCCCCGAACTCTCGAGCTAAGATTCAGGAGACGGCGGGGGCCTCGGTTCCCACAGTCCGAAAGTAACAGCAGAGCCCCTCTTAAAGCACTGGCAGGGAAGGCAGTGAGAATGGGGGCCGGGGGAGGGACTCACCGGTGTGGGTCCGGACGTGGCCCTGCAGCAGCCAGGGCCTGGAGAAGGCCTTCCCGCAGGTGCTACAGACGCAGGGCAGCGTGTGGCTCCGGATGTGCATCTTGAGGGCACCCAGGCTGATGTACTCCTTGTTGCAGTATTTGCAGTTGAAGGCCTTGCGAGACTGGGGGTCCTTGGCCACGGAGAGCCCGGTCAGCTGCTTGGGCAACTGGCCCAAGCCTGAGAAGGCAGCATAGCCCTCAGCCTCCAAGGAGGAGGCTGAAGTGGACGAGAAGGACGAAGGAGCCGGAGAGGGTGGACTGGGGGGCTGGGAACCTTTCCCGCTGTCCTCGTCGGACAGGGAGGTCAGCTCGCCAGCCTTGGGGATCTCCTGGGGCAGGAGAGAAGCCCAGCCAATGGGCTGGGCTTGGGGCGCCAAGAGAGAGTCCCAGATGAGCGTCGGCAGGGAGGCGGTGGGATTGAGGACCTCGGGCGGTGGGATGGCTGCCAGCAGGTGGGCTTGGTCGTAGGGCTGCTGGAAAGTGAGCTCTGAGCGGGGACAGAGAAGAGGGCAAGGTCAGGCGTGAGCTCAGTCAGCCAGCAGACATCAGCCTGATGTGGGCCAGGGACTGAACGGGGCTGGTACTCAGTGCTTATCAGATGAATACCAGATTCACGACTAGGACCAGCAGTCTGAGCCCCTCTTCACCCTGGTCACCTGGTTCTCCCACTTCAACCACCAGCTCTTCCGGGATGAATCCCCCTTCCCTAGCTCTGACTCAAGGGGGTCATTTCCAGGTAGGTCTCCATCCTCCTGAGTTACCCAAGTACCCAGCTTGAGACCAGACCCCCAGCATCCTGGCCCCTCATCTCCCCAGCTGCCTAGGCACCACACCCCCGGGACCCCCGTCGCAGGCCCCCTTCCATACACATCTCTTCTCCCACACCCTCCCCCAAATCCTCTGGACTCTTTCGGAGCCCTCGGCCCGGCGTCTGTCCAGATGGAAGCCTCCTCGTCTCACTTTTGAGAGGGGCGCCCCTCTTCTCGGCGTCTGGTAAGTTTCAGTTTCCTCAGCCCAAGACCACCGCCCTCCAAAAACCCTCTCCACATCTCCGGGATCCACCTGACCCGAGCTTATTCGCACCCAGGCTGTATTTTTTGACTCGACTCTGGCCCCTCGACTTCGTCCCCAAGCCCCCTGCTCCTCCAACGGCTCTCCTCATGCAGCCTTCGCCTGCCTCCCCCAAACTCCCCTGGGGTCCGGGCACCCGGTCCCCTCACCTGGAGAAGAGTCATGAAGCTCACTGTAATTGGGTCTCCGGCGGGAGCCGGCAGACTTCCTGACGAGGAAAGAGCGCGGCATGGTGGCCGAAGCAGCGGGCGGCATGACCCCGCTTCGGGACTCGGGCGCCCGGGCCGGCTCGGCGCGGCACGCTCTCCCGCCTCTGGCGCCCTCTGGCGCCGCGTGCCGCGGGTCTGGGCACCTGACTTTCGGAGACCGCCACCGCCTCGGGAGTCGGAACTGGGAGGGGGGTGCCTTCGCCCGAAGGGTGCCTCGCAGAGAGCGTGGGATTGAACGGGCGCAGCACACAGTTCGGGGGTGGGGAGAAGCAATGGACCCCTCCACGTGGCTGCTGACAGTGTGCAATGCCAAGGCCTTTTTTTTTTTTTTCCAAAGCTAACGGGCATCAGCTAGAAAAATGCACATACTGACTGTGTGCTCACTCACGAACCAGGCACCCCTCCCGGCGCTGGGGAGGATACAACCCTCAACAAAACACTCGGGGTCTCTGCTGAAGGGTCGCTCCCTCCCCGCCCCTCGTCAAGTGGAGGAGACAGGCGAAGTCAGACAATTCCAATGCAGAGGGAAGTGTGTTTCGAAGGGGCGGGGGGGACCACAGGGCACTGTGACAGTCAAGAGGCAGGTCATTTGACCGGGGGTCGGGGCAGCCTCCCAGAGGAAGTGAAGAGAATGCCGAGGGGAGAGGCCTGAGGTTAGAGGCAGTAACCATCTCAGAGCCATTGAGAGCCTCTCTCAGGATGGGGGTGGGGTGGGCAGGGCGGCGGGGTCAGGGCCTGGAGGAGTCTGGACTTTGCCCTAGGGGCACTGGAGAGCCGAGGAGGGACCTGTTTGGAGTTTGGTTGAGAAAGATTACTCTGGGCAGGTGGGAGAAAGAAGTGGGGAAGGGCGGAGCTCAGGTAGTTGCCTCACTCGTCTGGGGTCATCGATACTGTGTCTAAAGGACCTGAGGCTAGGCTCCAAGGGGGGGGGGGGGGGACACACTGACTGATTCAGCTGTGGGGTGGGCCCAGGGGAGGGACAGACACCTCACCCCCAGCTCTCCTCTGGGCCCACCAGCTGTGAGGCCATGCCTGTCCTGGACTGGGGATGGGGCGCAGGCCTAAACCCGCCGATCTCTCCAACGTGTTCCCCCCTGTGAAAACCTGTTAAGTCCCTCCACTCACCACCTAGCATGAAAGCAGGGACAATTGTCTGGATCGTTAGGTGCTGTGAACAAAACAATCATCCTTACCCAGTTCTACCTGGGGAGGGGCGGGGAGGCAGGGGAGACAGGCCACACACAGTCACTGAGAAGAACAGGGCCTCCTGTTTACTTCCCATCATGATTTTCCACCTACATCCAGAGGGAGTAGTACCGCCATGTCCCTCTGCTCCAAACCTCCTGTGTCCCTATCTTACACAGAGCAGAAGCCGAATTCTTCACCACCGCCCTCCACCTGCGGACCTGACCTCTCCTGCGCTTATCTTGAGCCGCTCTGCCCCTCCCCCTGCACAAGATCCACCGCCTTCTTTCTGTTGCTCCACAGCCCAGCCCTTGGCACCTGCCGTTCATCTTCCCTGCCCAGGAAATCTCTTCCACCCGATCTTCACCAGAGTCTCTTTTTGTCTTTGTTTCCTCAGGAACTTCGTAACTGTTCAGCCTCATTAGTAAGGAGAGAAATGCAAATTAAAACCACAATGAGATACTATTTCATGCCCATCAGAAAGATAAAAAGTTAAAATTTGGTCATAGCCAGTGTTGAGGACGTGAGGGCAGGAGGACTTTGGCTCCATGCGGGCGAGAGTGTCACAGGTATGAGCCACTTTGGAAAAGTTTCGCATCAGTGAACAACAGGTGACTCTCCTAGCATTCTACGCCCAGGCCTGCTGCCTCCCAGAGGTTCTCAGCCCTGGCGGCAGATCCCCCCAGGGAACACCAAAGCCTGGCTCCACCCTTGCAGCCGTTCTGATTCAATCACTCTGGGTGGGACCCTTTGATAGTAGCGTTTTTGAAAACTCCTCAGGTGATTCTAGTGAGCCAAGGTTGAGAACTGCTGCCCAGCCCTAATCCCAGAAGAAATGAGAATATTTCTTGCACCCTCATTCATAATAGAAAAAAAAAAAAAACAAACTGGAAACAACCCAAATGTTTATCAAGAGTAAAAAGGATTATAATGGGATACTATACAGTGATAAAAACAAACTAAAACTCCATATAACAACAGGGATAAATCTCAAAAACATGTGTTAAGAACCAACTCAAATACAGTTAGTTGGATTTAAACAGTTCAAAAGCAGGTAAATGAAACCCTTTATTGTCTAGGAATGTACATGGAGGTGGTAAAACTATAAAGAAAAACAAGGAAATGTTTACTGCAAAATTCTGGAGAGTGGTTAGCTGGAGGAGGTGCTTCTAGAGAGGTTTTGATAATTTCTGGGGTTTTTTTTGAGGGGGTTAAAACTTTTTTTTTAAATTGGAATATAGTTGCTTCACCATGTAACAGCAAAGTAAATCAGTCAGAATCATACAGATATCCTCTCTTCCTTGGATTTCCTTCCCACTGAGGTCACCACAGAGCATTGAATAGAGTTCCCTGGTTCTCATTATTAGTTATCTGTTTTATACATAGTAGTATACGAATGTCAACCGCAATCTCCCAATCCATCCCAGATAATGTTCTGTTTTAAGCACAGAAGATGTTATCATTAGTCTTGAAACTGTACAATAGGCAATTTAGATACTTGCTAAGAATGATATATTTAACACATATTTTAAGTCACCTGAAGGGAAGCGTCTCTGATAATCCTAGCCAAAGTAAGATCCTGCCTTTCAACATATCTTTTTTATTCCATTGCCTGCATGCTCAGTCATGTCCAACTCTCAGAGACCCCATGGACGTAGTCCGCCAGGCTTCTCTGTCCATGAGATTTCCCAGGTAGAGTGGTTTGCCGTTTCCTCCTCCAGGGGATCTTCCCCACCCAGGGATGGAACCTGTGTCCCGCACTGGCAGGTGGATTCTTGACCACTGAGTCACCTGTGAAGCCCTTTTATTCCATTTACCCCATTCGATTTTCTTCAAGGCACTTAGTAGGGGCTCAAACAAGCGCTTGGTGAATGACTGACTACTGGCTGGACCGTCTCCTGGTCACCCTGTGCAAGTCGCTCAGCGTCTCTGAGCCTCAGTTTCCTCATCTGCACAAGGTGAGTGTGCTATCTCCCAGAGATGCCGGATGGGCAGAAGCCGGAGGCGGCTGGTCCTCGAATGCCATTGCCTGGGCCTCCTGCTTTCCCTTTCGCTGCGGGCGGCCACCCGCGCCCTGTGGGAGGTGTAAGGTGCCGGCGGGGCCTTTCTGCATCTGGGCAGTCTCTTCCCTTCCTACTGAACTGCCCTGGCGCTTTATCCTGCCGGTTCGCCCACACGCCCCTCCCTCCCAGAGACGGCGACGTGGGAGGGGGCTTTGGGCGAGGCGAGGCCCAGGGGCTGCAGGTCAGCTCCCGGGGGTGCGGTCCCGGCCGACACTTTGTATGCTGCGGTGTCAGGTCCCCCCGGAAACGGACCAGCTCTGCCCACCGCCCCCACTCCGCCCTGCGCGCACCCAGTGGTGCGGCTGGCCCCCACTCCGCCCTGCGCGCACCCAGTGGTGCGGCTGGCCCCCACTCCGCCCTGCGCCCGGGGCCGCGGCCCTGCGGCGCCCTCTGCTGGCTCTCCGGTGGGGCTGGACGCGCACGCCGTGGATGAGGATGAAAACTGGTCCGGCTGCTATAAAGAGCAGTTTGGGAACGCCTCATAATGCCAGGACGAGGTGGCCGAGTGGTTAAGGCGATGGACTGCTAATCCATTGTGCTCTGCACGCGTGGGTTCGAATCCCATCCTCGTCGGCTTGTGGTTTCCACGCCTTGCCCCAGCTGGGGCTTCCCAAGTGGTTGCTGTGGTTTTTAAGGGGAAAAAAAAAAAATTGTCTCCTGCGTTGCAGGAGACACAGGTTCCATCAGGAAGATCCCCTGGAGGAGTGCGTGGCAACCCACAGTAGTATTCTTGCCTGGAGAATCCATTTCCCTCCACAATTAGATCCCCTGGAGGAGGGCATGGCAACCCACCCTAGTATTCTTGCCTGGAGAAGGCAATTATTTTTACCAGCGTCTTGTATGTCCTTCCAGAGATAGTCTGTATAGAGACAAGGATATACATATATATATTTATATATATATTTGTGGATGTTAATACCTACACCCCTTTTTAATGTAACACAAATGGGAGCCTATAATTTAGCCTACTTGCTTTTACCTCTCAAGTAAGTAACTGCATCTGCATGTCTTCAAAGTTGTTCCATATCTTCATACTTAGCTCCCGTAACCCCTTGCAGGTCTGTAGACTCTTTCATTGTGTGGATTATACCACAATCACACAGTTTATCTAACAAGGGGACTTGTGATAGGCATTTAGATTAGAATATAATTTTTTGCTACTACAAACAAGGGGGCAATTTCAGTGAATGTCCTGTATACACATCTTTGACCTGAAGTGCAAAGATATCTTATAAAAAATATTGAGGGGATTCCTTGGCAGTGGTTAGGACTCTGTGCTCTCATTGCCCTGAGGGTCTGGGTTCAATTCCTGGTCAGGAGACTGAGATCCTGCAAGTCATTTGACATGGCAAAAAAAAGTTGTTGATACATTTGTCCAAATGTCCTCTAACAAGCTTAAACTAAATTATACTTCCACCAGCAGGGAGTTGGGGGCCCTTTTTAAAACCTGATGGAGGCAGGGTGTTGTCAAATTTTTTTTTAATCTTTTCGCATCTGATAAGGGAAAGTGAGATCGCCTAGTTACAATTTGCATTTACATGACTGGGGTGGAGCATTTTTCGAAGCCTGTGTCCTTTTCCTTTTCTCTGGGTCCTGAACTGCATCTCTGTCGTTTAGTCACTGATTTGATGAACTTCCTAATCAATAATAACTCTTTATATATTAGGCCAGCTGACCCTGTTGATTAGATCATTAACCGCTGAGTGGATCAATCAGAGAGTTAATCTCGGCCGGGAAGAAGACATTGTCCACGAAGAATTCAATGAGTGAATCAAGACTCAATCTCCACCC